TTTTCCGAGACTAAGCGTTGTCTCCATTTGCATCCTTGCATAAGGCTACCATTCTGCCTTCCGAGAGTAAACGTTGTCTCCATCTGCACTCTTGCATAAGGCTACCATTCTGCCTTCCGAGACTTAACGTTGTCTCCATCTTCACTCTTGCATAAGGCTACCATTCTGCCTTCCGAGGTTAAGCTCTTCCTCTCTCCGCATTTACATCCTGCATAAGGCTATCATTTTGCTTTCCAAGGCTAAGCTCTGCCTCCCGTTTTCTTCAAAACTAAGCACTATGTATTTTACTTTTCTTACGGGCTAAGCTCTGCCCTTCAATTCGCAAGACTAAGCTCTGTCTTATCCGCATCATGCTACTGTATCCTTCATGTCCTGAAACATCGCCAACTCATCCGAAGGCGTCATTGTTCGTAGGCACCATCTTCATAGCCCGAGAACACCATGTCATGGCCTGAGGATCCCTTTCAATCTTTTGCATATCATTATTCAAAGGCATCATGGTTCGGAGGCACCATCCTCATAGCCCGAGAGCATCATTTCATGGCCTGCGAATCCTTTATCATACGCTTCATGTCCCAGGACGTGATGGTCTAAGGACGTCATCCTAACCGTCCAAAGACAACATTCATGGTCCAACGAGAATTTGCACCATGTTTAAATTTATGCACAGTATACGCTTGTATTGCTTCTATTTGCAGGTAAGATGGCGAGCAACGGCCATCCCTACAGGAGCGATCCCTCTCCAGTTCCCGCAGCCACATCAAACCTAACCATTCCCATAAACCTTTCAATCACCCGACCCTAGATATTGCGTCCGTTCTTGAAAAGTCTCCATCGGTATACTCCACCGACAGATCCTGAACTACATATGGCCTAATTCATGTAAAGCCAGGGATATGTTGGTAGCTCAGAAGCCAGAGTGCGGCCTAAACCTCTTCAAGCGGTTTCACTCGGTTAAAATTGGCCATCATATCTTTACCCGACAACTCTTTCATCCTTCCCGGGTATAGAGGGGCAGCTGTTGATACCCAATTTTTTCCTATATATTTTTAATATGCAAAATACCTTCAAAATAGCATATAAATGTATACATAAGCATGTACAAAGGTTTTATTATTTTTTTCATAATTTTAAAAGTTTTTTAAATCAATTTATCCCCCTTTTTCATCCATAAAATCTCAATAATTATTTTTAAAATTATTATTTTTTGATGATTCATTTATTGGATTCTTATATTTATGCCAAAATATGGCTACAGTAATTTTTACATATTTTTAAAATTTTGTTTAGTATTTTTTAAAGCTAATTGCACACAATTGCAATATTAGCCATTTTTTAGGTTTAAATTTGTCTCATGTTTATAAAATGGGATCCTATATTTTTAAATTGTTAATTATATATTATTAATCATTTTAGTGCTTTCAATTTATTAAATTCTCAGAAATTTATTTACTATTTTTATAATTTAAAAAGGACAAAATTGGCTATTTAAATAATAGCCCAATTGTATTTAATTTTTAGCCTAAAATCAACCCCAAATCAGACCCAATTTCCCCGGCCCAATTTAAATTTTTAACTCGACCCCTAACCCAATTTAACCAGCCCAACCCGGATCCCCTACCTACCCTCTTTAATCCAGGCCATTGATCATTCAGATCAACGACCAGCATTCACCCTTCCTAAAATAAACCTAAACGACCCCTTACCCTAATTCACTTTTCACCAAACCCTGCCTCTGAATCCCTTCCCTCTTAATTCTCTCTACAACCTCACATGAATCCTAGCCGCCGCCATCTAATTCCACCATAATCCACCTCAACCCCTGCCTAATCCATGGCCTCTCATGGCCATTTGAGATGTGTATCGACCTCCTATGGCTCCTGGGTGTTTGTTTCCATGAGAGATCTGGTCCAGTCCTTGCTCAACCTCTGTCTCCGGTCTTTCTCCGGCTAGCCATGGCCATTCGAGTCAGATCCTTGACTTTTCTGGTTAGATCGGTAACTTTTCAAGGCTTCTCTCACCTTTTCTGAGTTTTCTGAAACCCTAGCTTTAAGATCTTTTGATTTTCTTTCAGATCTATCTTATATTTGTGCTTACTATGAACTTCTTAAGTGTTTTCATGAAGGTTCTTCAATTTTTCTTTCAAAATGACTCTTCATTTTTCAACGAATAGGGTTTTTCTCTTAACCTCTTTTTAAAGATCTCTTCTCTTATTTTTTTGGGGTTGTTTCATGATTTTTCTATGTTCAAACAACCTGTTATGCCTTCCTTCTACTTGATTCAGCATGTTGAAAACCCTAGTCCCTTTTTGATCTCATCCGAGTTCTGAGACTGTTTGTTTAAATGTGTACTTGTTCGATTAAGTTCTTTGTTTCTGACTTTGTTCTCCTTGTTTGACTTATCTAATTTGACTTCTTATCATCTTATAAACTCAACTACTGTCGAAGCCCTAATTTATTAAAAGAGTTTTCCTCACTTGTTATTGTGAGACCTTTACTTGCTACTGACTCTCTTGCCTATTACTATGTTCTTCTTCACTGTTGATTCTATGTGACTACTTGACCTACTTGACTACTGTGCTTCGAATATTTTTCCTACTGCTGAATCCTAGCTTACCCCTACTTCTATTGTATGTGTGTGGTGTTTCTTTTGTCAACATGTTTGACCCTGTATGCATGTTCGTTTCTTGCTATTTATATGTTGAGGTGCAGAATCATGACCCCTTCTTGATTGATTCTGACTCCCTCAATCTTACGACTGATTGCAAAGGGTTCCCCTATAAACCCTAATTTTTTTACTCACTGGTTTAAAAATAATTGATTCCTTTCCTTTACCGTGATGTTTGATCTTGCTAAATCCTTTCCCAAAACTAAGCATATTTTTGTACATAGACTTGATAATTTACTTCATGCTTTTACTGCCCCCTTATATGGCAATAATCAATCTGTCGCAAAATGATTTGTTTCCTTAATTAAACCTGCCAATATCCATTCAGCAGGGATTCCTTAATTAAAGGGAATCACTTGTGTTAATTGATTCTGATTATGATTATTTCCATGTTTGTATTAAGACTTTACTTATTACCTTATTCTTCGCTCGTTTTCAAAAACTATAAATACCCTACTCTTTTTCTTTAAACACACGAACAATTTGAGTTCAGAACACACACTTACACTCAAAAACTCTCTCTTTTTTTATTGCTACTTGTTCTGCTGCTCTATCTAGCCGGCTGAAAGCCAAGGATAGACTGTGGAATCTTGCTTACCTTTCCTTTCTGCACTTTGCTTCTCTACTGGTATGTCCTAGTTAATTTTGTAAGCCTCAACAACCACATGTTTCTCTAATTGTTCCAAGTTCTCTCATTCTTGTCTACTTCTGCTTATGTTTTCTACGGTCAAGTTACATTACTAGCATGTTGTAATATGTTCCCTTCCCCTTTTAAATTAATGCCCCCTATGTGTGTACTCTGTTAGTCACTTGTTATGTGTTTGCTGACTCATGAATCCCAAACCCCATATCCCCTCTATGTGTTTGTGTTCTCTGGCTGGTTTGTCGGCATGCCAGCATCAGCTATTGTTGTGCATGACCAAACCTGACCCCTACTAGGGTCATATGCTTCATACAATGTATTTCCAAAACCCTTTGACCCCTTGGTATGATTACCGATTCTGTGTGTTTGAGTTTGTTCATCACCCCAACTGATTTCAAACACTTCTGCTACTGATTACTTTCAAAAATGGACTTGCCAGTCCAATTTTAAACAAACTCTTTTTCAACTATGTTATGCACTTCCACTCTACTCCTAGAACCTAGGTTCTGCCCCTCTTGTGTAAGCCTTGCCTTGGAACCCTTGAGCTTCCTCTAAACTTGGATACATAAGGGCTGACCCTTCCACACTGCACTCATTTTTATCTGGTTATGCATACCTGGGTGTAAGCACTGCCCGGGATCCCATGAGGTCCTTAGGGAACTTTGACACACCTAGGTATCAGAAAGGCTTTGAAATTCTGGCACCGAAGTGGTTTATTACATAACTCAGAGAGGAAGTCAAGATCAGGCTTTCCTTTGGTTGTAATTTTCTTATTTCTGCACTTCTTTTGTAATTCAATCATTTGGGCTATAATAATTTGTAAACAATATTGGGGCTGGCTAGTGAAAAGGGATGGGGTGATTTTGCATGCTTCAGCTAGTAGAAGGGTAGATAACATATCTATAGGGTGTATTTCGATATGATTTGTTAGAAAATATGCCCAGAGGATCTGCTTTGGTTTAACAAAATTCTGCATGTTTCACATAATTCTGCTATGTCTAAATGGCCTTTTAATAAAAATTATGCCTATAGGAACTTCGATTTGATCAAATAAATCCTGCCTATTCCACTTCATATTCAATTAGATACCATGCCTATTGGACTGAAATCAGCCTTTAATACTTAGATACCATGTCTGTAGGAATTAAAATCAGTAATAGATATCATGCTCATAGGACATCACTACTACGCCTAGGCAAGCCCTAGGTAACTATTTAAATAAAACTGGAACCGCCTTTGTTAATTACCAATTGTTACAACCAGCAGGCAGGCATGTTTCAGACTTCTTTTCTGAGTTATATAATGAATTTGGTTCTGACTCAAACTCTGCCTTAGGATTTTATGATTCAGACATTAACTATGTTTTAAGTCATGCTATTTATATGAATTGTTTGCGGAGGTATACATGAGCGTTTTACCTGCTTACATGTTCCCCTAAAAATGCAGTCCTATGTGTTTTTATATGTCGCCTTAGCCTTTTTACCTTTAAACCAAAGAGTTAGCCTAAAACCCTTCCTCTTATAGGAATAGTAGACCTAAATTCCTCCAAGACTGCTAGGAATGGGACGGGTAGTAGCATGCAATAGAGATCGACACCAATCCGCGCTTTAATATATTAACGGGGCGGGAAGGGTAGATATTGATATGATGACCAGTGCGCTAATACCACGTCTATTCTTGCCGAAGCTATTTCATCCCATAATTACGGACGATCTCAAAAATCAGAGAGAATAAAAAACAACCACAGAATATCCTACCTTACCTCTGTTTTCTCATTACTACAATAAGCTCTTTTTTCATGTTCTTTTTTTCCCTTTGCTTTATTTGTGTGTTTATTAGTCATTCACTCTCTTCTCGAATGCCTCACACACATATCCTTCTCTCATTCATCTTCCCCTACCTTCAGATGTAAGCCTCCCCCTCTCTCTCCCTACAGTTCTATCTATATATATGTATGCAATGCAGAAGGAACTGCGTGTGCCTCTTTCTGTGTGAATTCTCTTTTTTTTTGGCTAATTCTGTGTACTGTTGATTAATTTTTTCCAGTGACAAAAATGGTGATATTCAAGATCACGCGCGTCGAGACTACGCCATTCGAAGGCCAGAAGCCTGGTACTTCCGGTCTCCGGAAGAAGGTATACCTCAAATGAATTAAGCTAAATCAAATTCAAACAAAAAGTTCGTTTCGTTGTAAGATTTCAACAGTTTCATCAATTTTGCCACATTTTTGTTGTGATTTCTGTAGAAGCACGGTTTTATCTCCTTTCCTGTTTCTTTTCCTGATCTTTTCGTTGTTGAGTTCGATCCGCTTTCCTTTGTATTTTCTTGCATTTTCTTTTTATCTTTTTCTTTAAGTTTGTATTAATGCATAATGCTTGAAATCAGCAGATATAGATCTAAGGGATAAATTGCAAGTGAATGGGCCTTGTAGTAATGGAATGAAAATATCAAATGATGTAACGAGTGCCTCCTCTGTGAATAATTTGAAATTTTGATGTAAAATAATCCTCTTTGATTTTCAAAGTTGATTTGGTCCTCCTTGCGTACAAGCTAATATTATTCGCCTGCATTTCATCAACTTTGTCCTCGTGCATTCATCTTTGGACGTAAATTAAGCTACTTAAATTATATTAAGTAAGGAATTCTTACTTTATTCTTGGGAAGGTCTAGACCTAAACTTGCACGCGTTCATTAGATATCAGATTCAGTTATATGTGATGGAAAAAAGGAAATGTATATACTACTTTGTGTGTATTTTTCTAAAATAAGAATTCTATTTCTGAAAAATTAATCTTGAGTTTTAGATCCCAGCGGAGGAAAACAAAAAATTGGTGATTTCTTCCCATCTGTGAATTGCTCATATTCACTTTTTCTAAGCTAAAAATACTGATCAATTTGGGATCGTGGGAGTATTCATAACCCACCAAAAAGATTGTTGAATGTCANCTGATATTTCAGCGAAATGTAATTCCCGGTGAGGGGTGTTAGCTTAATGGTATTTCACCATGTTATTTCGATACCAACAAGTGATATTAGAGTCAATGGTTCAGAGTCAATGGTTCAAAGCAAGACCGAAGATAGATTCAGGCGAGTTCAAATCAAGCCACAGCTAATTGGACGATAATGAAGATTTATCCAAAAAGTTTGAACGTGATGATACACGTGGAGATAAATTACAATCACAAATATTCAAAACCTCTGTTGTTGCATCTTTTATAGAAATAAAAACTCTTTTTTAACCCATATTTGGACTCCTTTTAACCAATACCAGTTTTAAGTCATGCCTACTTGAAACGTATGAGCTCTACTGCTAGTTTTAACTCATGCTTTTTTTAACGCATGAGCTTCTTTTAACCAATGTCAGTTTTGACTTGTGCTTATTCTTAAACGTGTGAGCTCCTTTTAGCTAATTCTTGGGCTTCTTTTGACCTATTCCTATTTTTAATCATGGCAAGCAGCAATGATAAAAATTATGTGAAGAAGGCGAATCAAGCTTTGTTAAGAAAATTCAGGCCAAGGTTAGAATTGTTAAGATTTTGCTCTGAATTTCTAATCTATTAGGAGTCTTTTTCTTGAAGGAAGGGAAAAAGACTCCTAAAAGGATTAAATCTCTTTCATATGCTTTATCCTTTTATCGGAAGAGAAGTTTTGAACTTCTATAAATTGAGGTTTCCTTCTCAAATAACAACATTAACAACAAAAAATATCCACAATGCTGTTTCAAAGAGTTTTGTTTAGGGGGGCATTTTTCTCCGGATATTTTTTATTTTTTTTATTTTATTTTTTATAATAGTTTCATCATATGTAAGTCAATTGACCAAGCCATATTAAATTATTATACCTAGTTTAGTATATTTTTCTCTCTCATCTCATTTATCATCTCAAAAGTTTGCATTATTAACTTCCGCATGCATCATGTTATTTCGATCCCAACAAAACTATCTCTGTCTAGTTCGATGTACTAAGAGGGAGTGGGTGGGATAAAAAAAAGGAAACACACACAGGCACGCAATTCCGGACCCCCAAGAAGTTATAGTGACGTTCTTAAACTCTACCGCCTTAGCCAATTGGCTTGTAGCTAGTTTTTTTTCCTTTACATTTCTGAAAGGATTCACCTTTAACATTTATGGTTCTCCCAGAGACAGCTGGAACAGTAGTTTAATTATGCATTATGTTTGTCTTCTTTGCAACTCTTTCTGCATTTTGTTTGAATATTTGCAAGGCTAGTAAATTGTAGTTAAGCTCACTTATGAATAACCTGCACTTCTATTCAGTAGTTCTGCATGATCTTCAACCTATGTGAAGTGTCTTTGCTTGATTCTGCACTGTTATTTTAATGGCTTTGACTTTTGAGTCTTACATGAAGTTGGATGGACTGTTTCAGGTGAAGGTGTTCGTACAACCTCATTACTTGCAAAATTTTGTTCAGGCAACATTCAATGCCCTTGGAGCTGACAGAGTTAAAGGTATGGAATTTTATATTTTCCATTTCTGTATGAAGTCCTCTACATTTCTTGCATGTAATGGAATTGTTGATAGATATATCCTCTTCTAATCGCACTTTTGTATGTGCAGGTGCTACGCTTGTCGTTTCTGGTGATGGCCGCTACTATTCGAAGGATGCCATCCAGGTACTATTGATCCAGTTTTTTCAATGAAATTCTTTATTTTGTGTTGTTTGTTTGCTTTAACACAATCAATAATACCGTGGAAATCTTCTCTCTAATGCATACGGGACATTCTGAAAACAAAATAGAATTATTTTATTTTTCATGTTCCTATGGAGGTCACGTGCCTAACTTGCTTAATGGTTACGCTCCATGTACTGATGAATATTAGGTGCTTAATTGAAGGATACAATTCGGACTATAACCGATTTGGTCTTGTTCATGGTAGATCATTACAAAAATGGCAGCAACAAATGGAGTTAGACGTGTTTGGATTGGTCAAAATGGACTTTTGTCCACTCCTGCCGTATCAGCTGTAGTTCGTGAGAGAGTCGAGGCTAATGTAAGTGCTTTGCTTCTAGAGCTACCTCAAATTGCTTAATTCATATTTCCCTTTCCTTTTATGTGATATGGTTTTACTTGATTCCAGTATCTTTTAACTTAATAAATCATATTCAATACAGGGTTCTAAAGCTACTGGGGCATTTATATTGACAGCAAGTCACAACCCAGGTGGCCCTCATGAGGTAGTATCGGCAATTTTTTCTTAATCAGCTATTGCTTTTGATGCTTTCTTGCTCCTTAAATCATTAGGTGGCGACTCTTCAAAATACCGAATTCCCCAAAAAGGGAAATGAGTCATTATACCCCATGAATGTCGAAACCCGGAAACTCCTCTCCTAGCGAAAAAGAGGAAAAATAGGGGTGCGACAGCATGACGACTCTGTTGGGGATATTTAGGCTTTTACCATTTCATATTATTCTTGTGAATTTTTACCTCTCTATGTGCAATTACTTATTTAAATTTCTTTAAACATTTAATTTCTTTTTCAAAAGCAAAACTGACATGTCTTCCTTGTTTCTTTTCTTTATTGGCACTTTAAATTATAAAACTGTTGTATTTATCGCTTTCCTAACGTGCAAATACATGACAACATGCTTTTAATTATTTCATCGTCATGCTCAACATCATACTCCACTCGTGTCAAACAAATACTATGGCAACACTTTTAATGAGTGGTTGCACTCTTCATATATTATTACCCCATAAATTCGGAAAGGCATATTTATGGTAAAACTAGTCGATCAGCGGTGCAGTCGACAGTTCCGTGTCTTCCCCCTTGAGTTGTCCACTCAAGGGTACCAGTCTAAAACCCCATAGAAACCTTGCTCTGTTCGAATTGTGCATGCATCATGGTCATACCTAGCCGGGTCAGTTATGTTGTCCACATAATGATCCTTTAAGGTAGCCTTGTCCAAAGTCCACTGGCTTTCCCTGAACCCAAACGGACAGCACCACGTTCTGTGTATTTATTTGGATAACTAAGTGTTTCATGCTAATTTTTTATATTAATAGTCGAGTTTGGTGGGGGTAAGAGTCTAACCTTATTTGTCTTGCAGAAATATGAAGAACGAGGTTCCCAGCTACGGTATGGTTAGCACACCCTCACTCTTGTTGGATTGGTGGAGGAGTATTCCATCAAATGACCAAATCAATGAATGGAAAGAGAGGGACGCCAAAGCTAGCAAAAAGTTGGAATATTTGGAATACAGTCTGCTGGAATTGGAAGGAAAAGTGAGGAAGAGAGTCACCGACTGCCCGAACGCTGAAGGAAATGAAGGAGAACACCTGACAAAGGTATTTTTACTGGTGAACCTACGCGAGCTGGAGGATTTTATCAATAAGAGCATTCAACCTGAGTAAGGTCCTTCTGGGACCAAGTAGATAGGGATTTATTTTTTTGCTTTATGAATGTAATAAGGTCAATGACCATTAGTGACTTTTATTTCCTGTTTATTTAGTGTCGATTTGGGATTCGTCTTATTTCTTTATCAATAAAATGAGGCATTTAGCATTCTAAGTTCTCCAAATCAACTTGTCGCTAGGCCTACCTCGGGCACAAAGAGGTTCACAAATTAGGACACGTTTTACATTCCTGCACTATGTATTTAAATATTGCAATACTTTTTATAATCCTACAGACTCAATTACCATTTGTTGTTATTTTTGTTTTTTATTATTCCCCTCCCCAAAGGTTAGTTCGTGCACTCTTGCATCATCATCTTATTCCACGAGATCCAGGGGCCCTCCACCCACTCCTCTTCTTAGTCCTATCAAAAACAAGAACAAAAGCAAGATGGAAGATCTGAACAATGTCAGGAAGGAGAATCCAACTGAACGGGTAGAGGCACAATATTTGCATAACTGCAAGATAAACCCCAGGAGCGTTTGCCAAAATATTGCATTGGTGGTAACATGAGATCATAAAAGTGCAATAAGATGAAATATATAAAATCATATTAGAAGCAAGGCTATGTTTCTATTTTTTATGTTGACTCAAAAACAGAACCCTTTTTTCGCAAAGTGAACAAGTTTAAAAAAAAGATACATTAGGGTGGGCACCAAAGAAAAAAGTTGCAATGACTTGCATTCTTTAGACAATTCTAGTCACCCTACTGAGAGAATATAAAAGCAAGTTAAGGGAGAAGAGCAAGCATCATTTCATATTGATTTGTCTATGCTTAGGACATTACTGCTCCTCTACCCGATAAAATACCACCATCTCTGGATCTAGGTCCTAGCAGAAACACCAATTAAGTGGAAACCTTTTGTATTCATTAAAAGGAGATAGAAATGGTGATACTAATGCATAAAAGAGAAGTCCCAATTCTGCTAACATCTTCATTTAGCAGGTATAAAAATAAACAAATAAAAAGTTAGAATTGGACTATAAGTTTGATCCAGAGGAATGTGAAAGATTTTGGTCTCACAACCTGTGCGTTACTTGCATCATTAGTAGAAGGATAAGACAGTTAACACACATTTAAATGACATATGTGAAATTATAAATTATAAGTACCTTGAATGCTTCTATTGTTACTTTAGCTTGAATAATACTAGCGAAGACTCCTTTACTATCGAGGTCACCGTTCTTCATTGGCACAACAAACCTATAAAAGAAATAATTTAGTAAGAAACATTATTAGATGCATTTTTTTATTTATCGAGAAACAGAGAAACGAGGACATTTTAGCACATATCACTTCTCATTCTCTCTGATAATTTTTTAACTATAACACTAATAAATAATTATATTAGCACAAGCCCGGCTTTAGATTTCAATCACTACTACTTTGTAGATAGGAGACTTGTACGTTGAATTGTATTTTCTTGTTGGTAAACCACTGCAAAGTTTGATAGAAGACAAGAAATTCTTGGATCATCCATTCTTGTAGAAGTTTCAATAGAAGTGGAGACAAACACAAGATAATCTTGATACTTAACATGGTACAAATGTTAGATATCCTACCTATGTCAGTGCTATAAGTGTGGAATTTCCATAAATTTCACCAAATATAATTTATTATACTTATGTTGCCCTGAGGTGCAATGAACTGCCAAATTGACTTTGCCTGCAAATCCAAAAAAAATGTCAATAATTAGACGTTTAATGAGAAGTGTCAAAGCAATATATTCTTTTATTATCCAGCAAAGTGAAATTAGTATCTGATGCTACTTACCATGTCTGGTACTAGTATTGGCTTCCCTAAGCTCAATACTACAAAAATAAAAAATAACAGTTAGGCATGAATAAGTTCTTAAGTTTACTATTGTATCGAACCAGTGAGGCCAGTTGGTTGTTAGTAGATGTCTTATCATATACAAGGAATAGCAGCACCAGAGAAACCTGAACAATATCCTTGTGCAACAAAACATTATCTTTGACAAACATGGTTATATCCCTGTATATAGAGAATATTTCTGAAAAACACGATTATCATTTAGGTGGAAGCCTGATGATTTTTGAAAATCAAATACTGGCTAAAATAGAGTACTATAATAGGTAGGTATTTTCACCACATTAAGAACAAATTCACTTAAGACACATATAGAATAATTTTTACATAAAGAGAGGCAGATCGCACAATTTCACCAAAGAAAGTTTTCGTTTTTCTTGGGAAGAGGGGGGGGGGAACTCCTTCAATCTGTTACTAAGCTTTAATGAGACATGAAAGCAAGTCATATGCTATAATAGAAACTAGTATGTAGTTTCTTTGCTTATTGAATATTGTAAAAAGTTAAAGAAAATAAGGCATCAATTTACACACTAATACATGGATATGGACAGGAAATGATATAATAGCATAAAAATATGGAATGACAAACTCAATAATATTTAGAGCTTCTAAGCAAATCAGACAGAAGCTCAAGTTCCATAAAAGGGATCAAGGGTAGTGTAAGCAAGACATATAGATAATTTAGAAATAAGTAACTAAGTCATGTAATGAAGGACCATGAAACTGCCTTCACTTCCTATTCATTCAAATATCGTAATAGTATACGTCCATTTTACCTACAAGTTAAAAATATTCTAGTTCTTCAATAAAAAAATAGGAGCTTTTAGTTTTATTCAAGTCAATCAAGTTGAGTTCCAACAAAGAATTGTGGTGTAGCTAAATTCATGAGTTCCACATCATTTTATCGTTTAAGTGGACAATTCAAATACCCTTGGCATTCAATAAAAATATATAAATGTAGGTGGACTATTATAGACGATGAAGTTAGTATAACAAAATTCTAATATAATGATTTCAAGCCTCTCATGCTAAACCTACAAAAAATCTATCCATACACAGATACGACGGATGAGATCTGTATAAATTCATAACACCGCCGAATCAACAATTCATTGGGTCTATACTTCTGGCAAGTACTATCACCTCATTCTAAACCAAACAATGGTCTTAACCCCTTAATTTACTTCATATACTTAGATTTCACTGATCTCGAATTCAATGATCTCGTCTCACCCATTACGAACTGCTCAGGCAATAAGCCACTCCAGACATAATCAAAAGTCGCATATGATTCCCCAATATGCCAATAGGCTACCAATTCGAATGCGATACAAAAAAAAAAAGAAAACGAACTCTGGAAGGAATTACCAATCCCACACACTAATACAGACTTTCCTTAGAAAACAAGAAGCAAGGCATACAAAATAGCATATAGAAAACTATACTCAACATCACACTGTTGCAAACTTTATACTTGGTTTACATCTTTAATCAATCAAGTGATCACATGCCACACTTATATAATCTTCCCGTGGGACACACTCCCACAACCTACCACAACAATTTCTGGAGCGCACATCCAAACCAACGGTCGCACTAACGCTAAAGAGCGATCAAGAATTATTAACCAGGACGCAAAACCCTTTTTAAAAAACACAGATCTTAGATGACGCTGAAGACAATACCAACTTACCGTAAACATCGAAACTTATCTCCTGTTCATCCGAGCTCATGACATCTTGTCAAAATTTTCCTTCACTCGTGCCATTCTCGGCCCAATTTCCACAACCAGAACTGATTCACCAGCATGCATCAAATCGGAACTAACATAGTACATAACCGCACAATCCGCTAACCAATAGCAAGCTCCCCAACTTGGCTCGAAGCCATAGATCACAACACATTATACTCATAATGCATATACTCCATTGTTGCCTCAATACCTTAGTGAGGTTAAACTCAAATCCTCTGTAAGCTTGTGTAAACACATTTCATCTAGTACTTCAACTCTTTGGCAATCTCGCAACAGTTAAACTCACTCTCTTAAGTGAACCAAATATTTTAAACTTCAACACTTACATTTCATTTGCACATGAGATCTTCTGTTATTCACATGAGGATCACACCGCCTCAGCACACTTCACGGGAGATAACCCACCTGCTTCGCCTCAATATAACATTTTCGTATACCTTCCACCGCCATAAGCATTACGCAGTCACTTGATCTTTCTGAGTCTGTACTCATACCGCAACATGAAATTTACTTNACAACATGAAATTTACTTCACTCCCAACTTGGAGTCATGAAAAGATTCTTCAAACGCCCATAACTCGGGCTATAACTTGAATCAAGATAGACTTCAAGCATCTACTAATTCTTCCATCATTCAACATACCCCTTCTCGTCGCTTCCAATTAGTATGGATACGCCTCGTAGTACTAACATACTCCTCACATAGCCACAACCGTCATTTTCACTAACGGGGACACTACCGAACATATAAGTTCAAAAATACTTGTTTACACAATCAGCACCTCGGCGCTCCCGCCATAGGCAAAGATCCAACCTCAAGTCCTCCAGACTGGCCCACCATAAACTCACAGAGATAACACCTCGAGGCACATCTGATACTGAGTGCCCATGCGCGCATATAAATGCGTGGAAGGAATTTCAAAAGTTTCTTTTCCAGATGAATCAAGGACGCACGATAAAAATTCAAGAATATGAAGTTTTCCTAAAGGTTCTGCAGCCTC